AACTGAAGAGTAAATACACTGAATCAGCTGCAGCATTGAAATCATTTAGCTGTGTGTGTAACAATGATCATCTTACTACAATGCAATATTCTGCTGGGAAACCTTGGGTCCAGGCTTTCCTGTGTCCAGCAGGACAATGCACCCCTCTGCACCTCAAAAGTGCTCAGGAATGGCTCGAGGAACACCACCAAGAGTCCAAAGCGATGACCTGGCATTCAAACTCCATCCATCTATTATCTTTACACCACATATTCCTCACTTGGGCCGTGGGGGGTTGGAGCCTATCCCAGCTGACTTAGGACGAAGGCAGGGGACACCCTGGACAGGTCGCCAGTCTATCACAGGGCTACACTTAGAGACAGACAACCAAGCACACTCACATTGACACCTACAGACAATTTAGAATCAACAATTAACCTCAACATGTTTTTGAACCTTGTGGGAGGAAACCGGAGGACCCGGAGAGAACCCACGCTGCACGGTGAGAACATGCAAACTCCATGCAGAAAGATCTCGGGTGTCCTCACCAGGAAGCAAACCGGCGATGCTAACCACTGCGCCACCTTGCAGCCCGCCTTCAAACTCCCCAGATCCAAACCTGAATGATGCCCCAGAACAAGCTCAATCAATGGAGGCCTCACCCAACAACCCACAGGACCCAAAAGATCTGCTCCCTATGTACCAGTGCCAGACACCACAGGACACCTCCAGAAGTCCTGTATCCATGGGGTTCCGCCTCCGGTCAGGGCTGTGTTGGAAGCATAAGGTGGACCTACACACCATTAGGCAGGTGGTTTTAATGTTGTGGCCTGTCATGTAGAACTAAAACTGCAATGTCAAGTTACACTTTTAATGATTCTCTTTGATCTTATTAAAAGACGACAAAGGCTTTCTGTTTGCATGATGGTCTATAGCTGTTTGTTGTTGTTGGGTTTTTTTTTTACAGTAGGGCAGAGCCGTGTCATAAACCAACCTGACTTCCACATCGCCACAGGCAGGAGTGATGCAGAGAGAAGCAAATAATCAATTATACACACAGCCTGCTCAGTAAGGTCAAATGCATTCAGCTCTGTTACATGTGCTCAGCCTCAGGAATCATTAACAACTAATGCCAAAAAGGCTGAAATATGTTCTGAGCTGAACTTCCTTACCCATGGCTTTTTACCTATGATGCTGTGACACCACACTTGTGTGAACTCGGCTTTATTTAATGACGAACTCACACTGACACGCTCTGGCCCTCAGTCTTCGTCTGAGCAGGCAATGCAGTGCTTGTGTTGATGTCGTGAGCAACAGCATGGCTTCTTATGTTTCATAGTGCTGCGTAGGCAGCATATCCTCAGGGGAAAGAGAAAGCATTTATTACGCAACAGCAGGATATTTTATATATATATATATATATATGTGTGTATATATCTGTCCACTTGTCCACGTGACATTGACTTGACATCTATATGTTTGCACATTGTCTTATATTCCTTGGCATTCTTCAGGGATGGGGAGAGGGAGGGGGAAAAACTATGTAGAAAGGCTTGAAGACGAGAGGGACGCACTTTTATGTCCCACTTTGCAAACTCTTTGCAGCCTACACTGCCAAGTCAATGTTACACCTATTCCACCTCCCCTAAGCTTTAAATAGCCCACTCTCCCTCAACAGGACAAACAGAGAAAAACACGCAGCCTTCAGCACGCTCTGCACCTCAGACTGAACATTTATTATCCCTGTTGCCTAAACATGGAGTCTGAATTGTGCTTTCCACTCTCTTGTGACCATTCTGTCATCAGTATTTATCTACAGAGAGAAATGTATAAACACACGTCAGCAGAGCCAGCAGCCGTCACTAAAGGATGTAAAATCTGTCTGGAGTCTTGAGCCAACACGTCTCAGGCTGTTGATGTTGTCAAATATTAAAATAGTTAAAATATTTAAATTGTTACGCATTTTGGTAAATACACTTCATAGCCTTCTTGTTGAGATATAAATGAGAAGCTTCATACCCCTCTCTGGTTTCTCCACTTAATAGGAAAGCAAGGCTAGCAGCTTGTTAGCTTAGCAGAAAGGGTGTAAACACTGGGAAACATGCTGGTTCTATCCAAAGCTAACAAATGATGCCTTCCAGTAGCTATAAAGCTCACCAATGAATATCTCGTTTAATTCGTACAAAAACCAAAGTGTGAAACCAAGTAGTGGTTTTATGGGGGTTTATGTAATTTCTTGGCTGGGAGCAGTTGCCAGGCAACCAGCAGAGACTTCAGGAAGTCACTGCTCCAGTCCAAGACACAGTCCAGCACGTAAACCCCATTAAAATGACCAAGTGTTGTTTTTACACTGTTTTCATACAGATTCAACAACGTACAATGAATGTCCCAAATAACGAGCTACGTTATTTGTAGCCACTCTCTGGAGAGAAAAAAAAAAGCCAATATATTTGATATAAAATGTTAAACTATTCCATTGAGAGGCAAGTTTTCTTGAGGAACCTGTGGATTAACAGCCTGTCTTTGCTGTAGCAGCATAACTACCTGAAACATTAACATATATTGGTACGACTGCTGCCTATTGAATTTTAGTATCTTTGCTCTGTTGTTGTATGGGCAAATATTGTAGCTTGTCTCAATATTTCCCAGTTACCTTTTGTTTTCGTTCCCAATGCTAAACTTTTGGGCATTTCAATTGCTTTTTTATTTTTTCTCATTAAACTAATAACTCAACCTTACTCGCCATGCTTTGTTACACACACACACCCTCATCCTTCTGCCATGTTGCACAGATTTGATGCATCACACTTTGTCGTTTCTCCAGAGAACTCGCAAGTGCCAGACATATAAGAATTTCCACCGATTGTATTTCTTCATCTGCCAGTTTTGTAGTGAATACTTCACTGCTTAGATTAATGGTGGTGTGTTCTGAAAAAGAAAAAACACTGAGAAATAGGAAAAAATATTTAATTGTATTTGCCGTAATTTTTTTCTCTCTTTGAGCAGAAACACTAAAACAATATCAGTGGTTCCCAAATGCTTTGATTTGTGACCACTAAAATGCTCTTAGTGCAGCCAAGCAACTCCACCAACAGGTGATTTTTGCTTCTCAGATGGTTTCATTAATGTGATAAAAATCATTTAAACGAAGCTCAAAGATGTAAATTATCTAGTATTTTTTTGAAAAAAGAAAACAAAAACAAAAAACATACAAAGTTGAGTAAAAGTCTGCCCAGAATCAAAATAGTCTCTTTTTAAATTAAAACATGGAGAGTATTATTACGTGATTGTAAGGTTTTCTTTCAGCATTTAGTAATTCTGTTGGACCAGCTTAATTGGCCTGGGTTGGATCAACTATAGTTATTACTGTAATTTTTATGACTGTATAATGAGTTGGTCCAACCCAGTTAAATTAGGTCAGGCCCATCCCTTGGAAAGAAATTGAGTCAACACAAGTACATTAGGTTGGAAAAACAGAATCGCTTATTGCTGAAAGGAAGTAATTTAATCATGTAGAAACACTTTCCATGATTTTTTTCCCTGTTGTTGTGTGTATAGAAAAGTTATTTTTCGGAGTGCCCCGCCCATAGAGATTAATCCTCGGACATCTTTGATTTGGTCCAGATTGTAACAAAATCAGAAACACTCATATCATAACCTCTTTACATATTAAAACTCAAGAGAGAAAACTCAGCTACAATTGATGCAACTGCCTCTCAAGCGTACGCCCGCCTACAGCCATATGTATCACCTCCCTGCATGGGGGGGTGGGGGGTTTATGTGGATCATCAGGCTCTCCTCAATCATTGCTTGCTCGATTTAACATCCGCCTGCTCTCCAGCCTCAATGCATCCCACGGGTGGATCTTGATGGTCGGTTTGTGTGAATGCATGTGTGTGTGTGCTTGAGGAAGAAATGAAGGAGAGGGTTCCTTGAGCTTTGAAGGTGCATCTGTCAGAGTCAGTCTTTGGTGCTCACACACCTAGTCTCCGCTGTAGACTTCCTGTGTCTGCCATGAGTCAGAGTATGCCGGTTATGTAAGTCCTCCGAGGAGAGAGGGGAACACTAACACACCTGTGCCCTGTCAGCCTGTACCTGCCAGGTTTCATTTCACATTCACCTACAGCACCACGTACAGTTTCATACAAACATTTAATTATGACTCAGCCTGTAGCAATTCCTCTGCTGCAGCCCTCATTTAGGTCTTAGGCCAATATTTCTTAAGTATAATCAGATGAGAAAAGCTCACTTGGCATCCATCAGCTTTTTCCCTTTGCTCATTTGTGCACACATATATTTAGATGTGTGTGTGGGGGGAAGGGTGATGAATGCGGGCACCAAACAAATAAAGAATATGGATAATTTGGAGTGACTATGCTAGTTTAGAAGAACAAGAAAAGATCATTTTTTGGCTGCTGGAGCCAAATCTGCCACCTCCTCACCAGCAAAAAAAAAACAACAACCTTGTTCGAACCTCAAAACTACCCCCGCAGCCTACAGTCCCAGCCACGTGACCCCACCCCCTGCCACACAAACACTTCAAATGGAAAAGGAAAAAAAAAAAAAACGCTTCCCCCACATACAAGGCTGTAATCTAGGGCACACTCACCAGCAATGCAGATCTTTATGTACAGTTATAGATGCCTGGGCAGGTTCTTTTTTTCCCCCCTCTATTTTGCTCTAGTTCAGGTGATCAACAGGTCTGCAGTGATGAACACACAGCATCACACGGGGGAGGGGGGGTTACATGGAAAATGCCACATGTTGTTGCAACATATGTAAACATGTATGTGTGTCTGGGTGTGAGGGACGTCCTGCTAATTGCTCATGTGGAAAAAATGTATTATAATAACTGGCATGACCTTTATTTAAATTAGGGCAACTGGGTGCACTGCACTGCAACTACTGGGGCACACACCGCCCTGTGTGTGTGTGTGTGTGTGTGTGTGTGTGTGTGTGTGTGTACATACCAGGTAAACGTCACAGCTCGCCGAGAAAGCCTCTGCGAGCGCGCGCCACACTTCCTCAATCGACGGAATCACAGAGCGAAAAAGCGAGAGGAAGAGAAAAGAGCAACTTTCGTCGTGCCGCGGTGAAAAAAAAACCCAAAACACAACCAGCGAGCGCCGAGTTTGCAGGACGAGGTGAGGCTGCCATTATCATCTTTTATTTTAGTCGAGCTTTAAGTCTTTTACGCTCTTACATAAAGTTGCTCAAAGACTAAAATTCGTACCTCTCTTCTCCTCCCCCTCATCCTTCTTCTTCTTTTATCTGTTGGGAAACAAACTAACCGCCGGTGCTAAAGTTAGCCGTTTCTTCACAATTTAGCTAAACGTACCAACACTCTGCCCGGGGGCTGTTAAAGAGGCAGTAAAGGCACATTTTAGTAAATCTCGAAGAACTTTTTCGAGCTTCTTGTGTCGCCCCAGTTTTTTTTTTAAGTGTTGCGAGGAATTGTGTGAGCTGTCAGACTTGACGGCGAAACAAGGTCAGCGATGGGAAACAATAGATAGTGACAGGGGAGATGTCAGGACCTCGCTTTATTTCGTAGCACAAGTCGTCGTGTGTATCTTAGTCTAAATACAGTCGACTATAAGTGTATGTACATGAGCGGCGATGGCGGAGTCACAGAAGACGCTGTAACTCAGGACGTGAGGAGGAATGTGAGCAAGTCTTGACAACAAAAACGGAGGAGTGAAATAATGATAATAAAAAAAAAGAAAAAATAATAATCACATTTACTTGTCATGAAGACAATCTGGCTGCAAACTGCCGTGTGAGTCACACATGAGGTGACATCTGCTAACTGAAAGTGAACCACATCCTTTAAAGGGAGAACTGTTGCAAAAAATAAAATCAGATGTGCTGACTGATTACAGCATGCAAGGCGGTGGCATGCTAAATCTCGGTCACAGCCGCCTGTTACACCTTCAGCACGTGTGTGAGAGATACCTGTCAGGACAGGTTATCAGCCATTACCGGCAGTAAGTGTGTAGTTTAATGCAGACAGACTGTATGATGAGAGGTGCTCCAAAAAAAAGAGAAAAGAAAAGTGGCCATTGCATCCTTACAGAAGATTACTGTGCAAGCTTCGTCTCTTTTTGTGCATTTTCCCGTTTATATTATTAAAAAAAAAAAACAGACAAGCTACTTATACCATTATTACATCTGCATTACACACCCATTATTTGTGCTTTAGCTACTTAAATTATTTTCATCTTTTAATTTAAGATTTGGTGTTGATATACAAGCATGCATGTCAAAATAGAATTGTATAGCGATACCAAGGCTTCTAAGTCCAGATTGTGGGTGTGATAGAGTAATATTAGTATAGTAATAGTGACAGTAGTTGCTAGTCCTGCTAACAAACACAGTTTTGTGTTGTTCATGCGTTCAGGTATCAGGAAGTAGACTATATAAGGCTAAATAGCTAAATAGGAAGTCTGGTAGAAGTTTGCAAGTTACAGTGCGCTGGTGCATAACAAGTGAATTTACCAGATGGCACAAATCGAAACTGCACATGAACAGTTTGCTAGGTAATCAATCACTACTGCCCTCAATCACATAGTGTGCTTGCTATTGATTATCTCCAAAAACTCTGACATCACAGCAGCAGTGGGTGAGTGAACGTGGTCGTTAGTCATTCTCCCCTTTTAGTGCAGACTTTTTTTCTTGCCTGTGCGTTTTTCTGTCTTACTTTTCTTGTCTCAGTGTGGGCGGTTATGGTTTTAAGGATTGTGAATACCAGCTAGGCCCACTGTGGAGCACAGCATGCTTGTATTTGGATTAGCGACATGTTGAGACTCGCTCTGCCTTTGTAGTACAAGTAAACACCTCCACTGTTGCAGCTGCAGCCTGTCAGAAACTATATTCTCAAGAAACGCACAGTGACAGGGACCCAGATAATTAGCAGAAACACAGTTACAGTACATTTGGCATTGTGGTTGCATGTAGAGGATATGTAGAGGTGTAGAATTAACAGTATAGAAATTTAAGACACCATGGGTGTGATGGAATGCCTGGCCAGGTGTAACATTAACGAGAACCACTTTTAGCATTTCACATCCAGAAACTAGTTGAGTATCAATGGTTATAGAAAAACTTGTGGCTCTGTCTGTAGCACGTGTAAGCTTATGCAAGCAGTAAATCATGCATGCAGTAACTTGTGCCCAGCACAAAGGGTGCTATTGATTGTCTGCCAGTATGTCACTGTCAGTATATATTTCACCTCTAATGCAAAAGAGACGCAACTTTCCTTTAATGTATAACCCTTTCAGTTTTCTAAACTGTAGGTCTAACAATGAAAAATAATGACAAATGCCCTTTTTAATATTTACAGCTGGCAAACTGGAAAGTGTGTCTGTATACACAATATAATATACTATATATATAATATACAATATACGGGTCATATAATGATTATGTTTTGGAATCGGATACAAAACCCTGTAATAGTCAGTCCTCCGCAGAAAAACAGGTGTTGAAATAATTTTGCGTCTCTCTTCATGTGGGTGTGACTGCATTAAAATGTCTCAAAGTGAGATGTCAGAGTACGAGATTAAGTCGTGATGCAGTCAATTTTTTTCCATTTCTATGAGTTTCACTGTGGTCAACAGAATGTGCTCTGTCTTTGCTGACACAGCAATCTACTGTTACTGCGAGTTGATGCAGGTGTATGACAGGGAGACAGGAACAGGAATGTGTTTGAAATCTTTCTGTCAGACACCAGTAAAAGGGGCACTGTCTTATCTTCTTTTTCTACTATTGTTTGTTCTCACAATATACATGTGCTCAGATGTAAGCTAGTGTTATTGCTGCATGAGAGTATGAAACTGAGAGAATGTACGCAGTGGATATTATGATGCATATTATGATCATGCAACTGCATGTGTAACCAGCATGATTTAAAAGATAACTGTCACCAGGGTATTTCTGTGTTTGTCTGTTTTTAAGAACAGGGGACCCTGGTACTCGTCACCATGGCTCCTTTCTTGAGGATTGCCTTTAACGCATACGACTTGGGCGTCCTGCCTCCTCTGGCCGACTCGCCCTTTTGTGCAATCAAGATGAAGGAAGCCTTGTCAACGGGTGAGAGAATGTTTGATAGCGTACAGTGCCCTGTTTTTTACAGAAGTTGTAATTTCTGTAAACAAAGTTGTCACACCTTCATACTTACTGTGTTTGGGAACACTAAATATTATTTTTGTCCTTCCTTTCTTTGACTATCTTCCTCTTAGAACGAGGCAAGACCCTGGTTCAACGCAAACCCACCATGTACCCGGCCTGGAAGGCCAGTTTTGATGCGCACATCTATGAGGGTCGTGTGATTGAGGTACTGCTGATGAAGACAGCGGAGGAGCCACTGGCTGAGGTCACTGTTGGTGTGTCTGTCCTTGCTGAGCGCTGCAAGAAAGCAAATGGCCGTGCTGAATTCTGGGTAGGACATCATAGATTGTCCTCTGTCCCCTGCAGAGCAATACCCCAGAATTATGTTTAACTGTATTTTTATTTTATGTTCAGGTGGATCTTCATCCATCGGGGAAAGTAATGATGGCAGTGCAGTATTTTCTGGAAGGTGGGGATACAGGTGAGAGGAAATGAAATGAAATAACTTTCTTTCTTCGTTGTCTGTTCTTTCTCATGTTGCAGTTGATTTCTCAGCTTTAAAACATTAGATTCCTTCTTCAAATCAGTGGGAAGAGAAAGTCCCCCCACCTCATTTCCATGTGGAGCCAGACTAGCCAGCCATGTATCACAGTATTTCTTTGCTAATTTAATCTGATTATTCACATGACCAATTCCTACGGCTGTCCCTAAAATTATCATTCAAGCAATTAGTTTGCCGAATACAAAATTACCCTTGTTTTTTCATTGCGGTGTTGTGCAATAACTAATCTGTGTTTCTGTCTGTGTTTGAAAGAGTGTAAGCAAGCTGCAAAGGAGGAAGAGGCTCCCACTCTGAACCGTAGACGAGGGGCCATCAAGCAGGCCAAGATCCATTTCATAAAGAACCATGAGTTCATTGCCACGTTCTTCAGACAGCCTACTTTCTGCTCTGTGTGCAGAGAATTTGTCTGGTCAGTAAAGACTACACTTCCTGTAAGCACACCTAAAGTGGAACTCATAAACCGCTGATCAGATAAACTCAAACTCTAGAATGATACTGTTAGATTACAGACATAATGTTAAGAAACTTCCTGACATCTCACCCTGTATAACACTCTCTCAATAGGCGGATTTCTGTCTATATGTCAGATGGTCAGATAGTGTTGGTACACAGTGATGCACAAATCTGCTTTCTGGACTTCATCTGTTCCTTATCAGCAACATGTGATTATTCAGCAAACCATGCACATGATCAAAGAGCGATACAAAGGAACTCATTTCTATCTCTTTTTCTCCCACAGGGGACTTAACAAGCAAGGCTATAAATGCAGACGTAAGTGTACAATATTTTTTAGAAACCCAGTACATTGTGCTATAGTTGAAAAAAACAGCCCAATGTTTAGATGGTATATATTGAAAATGTGTACTTGGACATCGATAAAAATTTGTTTTCACAGTTTTGTTACCGTTGTCTGCACAACAGATGCTCAGATACTGAATCAAAGTATACAACTCTATTTTATCTTTCTTTTTTCTTAGAATGCAATGCTGCCATCCACAAGAAATGCATAGACAAAATCATCGGCAGATGTACCGGTACTGCTGCCAACAGTCGGGATACTGTGGTATGTTTCACTCATTTCTGCAATGCGCCATGTACTGTGCGTGTTGTCCATATGTCTACAGGTTAGTGTGTAGCAGTCAGTTTAGACTGAGCTTTTCTTGCTCAGATTTTTGCTATTTTGCTGTATCCATCCTTTAACGTAAAAATGGTGCTCATTTCATCTAACTTACATGTGATGCTGCATCAGGATTTAAGACAACGGTACCAGATACCACTTCTGATAAAGCTCTCTTCAATGACTGTATTGTTGTATTGGTGGAGAGAGAAGATCAAACTGACCTAACAGAGGCATCAGGATGATCATGCACACGCCCACACAGTAGGTAAATAACAGATGGGGTGTGGTCTCAAACAGGCATTTTAAATCAGACAGACTGAAGAAGAAACAAGGACATTTTTACTCAGCACTGTGGTCAATTCTGACAGATTAAACTCAGAGAGGATTGTAGAAGACAAAGCAAAAAAATAAGAAAATAAAAAGAAAGAAGATGAGGCATGGATGGATGGAAGATGAGGCAGTTGTACAGGGATTTTTGGTGTTACAGGCCACTGATTAAGATTTGTCATGTCCCTAACAGTTCCAGAAGGAGCGCTTTAAAATTGACATGCCGCACCGTTTCAAGATCAACAACTACATGAGTCCCACCTTCTGCGACCACTGTGGTAGTCTGCTGTGGGGTCTGGTCAAACAAGGCCTCAAGTGTGAAGGTACAGAGCAGCAGATATCATTGACTGGATGGCTACTGGAGTGTATGTGTGCTTTTGTGTGTAACAGACTTGTTTTATTGTCTTTGCAGACTGTGCCATGAATGTCCATCACAAGTGTCAGGATAAAGTAGCCAACCTTTGTGGTATCAACCAGAAACTACTAGCTGAAGCACTTACACAAGTCAGTCAGGTGAGTTCATAAGGATTCAGTCATTTTAAACATGATCAAATGGAGTGTCTTCAAGTGTTTAGGTCAAAGTAGAATTTATGACATCAGAATGACAAGTCTGACCAAGTATCATTACGTCTAATGAAATCATGACACGATTCTTCAGACATTGAAGATATTTAATTAAATTAACTGTTAATTAACTAATAGTTTGCTGATATAGATTTTTAAAAATACTAATAGAGCTGGATCATGAACCACTTAATATATTTTAATGTCCTGCCCTATGTAATAGGATTTTTAAACTATTTTATACATAGAAAATTGTATAATTTTCCCTTTAGGAGTTCTTTGTCTGAAGACTAGTCTGAAAAGAGTTTAATAACGCTTATTTGGATGTTGTTCAAGGGTGTTATTGAACTATCTTGTGGCAAAAATATATCTGAAGTCTCAAAATAGTTGCATCTGCTTAATGATGAAACTATTTTAAAAAAAAAAGGTTTACCTAAATATCATTACAGCTTTATGTCTGCATCATATAATCTGCTAAAAGATCATAAACAATTTAAACTCTTGAATTATTTATATTGTTGCTCATCGTGCTACATGCAGCTTTGTTTTAAATAGAGAATAATTGCAGGCATGAGATGTCAGGTGTTTGACATATGTCAGACACCCAGAGAAAGGTTTCATGAAACATACAAATGTCCTGAAAGCAGGGAAATTTTGGTGTAAGATCTAGTTCTGTCTTCAGAAAAGTGCCATTGTTGACCCTAACCATGATCCCAAATGATCCCTATTCTATTTGTGGCCCTGACCCCATTATTCTCCTAACTTCAGCCCTTATCAGAGCCTATTTCTAACATTTATCCCAGCACTAAGACTAATCCCAGACAAAGCATCACATGACATATGACACATCATAGTCCTGTGATAACATGTTGATTTTTGCCAGTGGGCTATCAGAAAGGTGTAACCATCAAACCGAGTTTCACTTGAATGAGAAACTCCCTATTACCAGCATGTGTCAACAGATTTTTCAGAGTGTGACACCTGACCTTCATGTTAACCTGAGCTTTTTGTCCTGCTGTATTTAAGGACTGGTTTGTTCCCACGTCTCTTGTTGTCTCTTTACACGCTTCTGGTTCAAGAGACAGTCTAGGTAGTTTTCTCACAGTACTCTTTAGGAGAGGAGAATCAGATAGAATGGGTTTTCCCTGGATGTGCCACAGCTAGATGGGTGACTATTGCTGGGAAACTATATGTGTGGCTGTCTCATGCTTATTTTTTCTGTTTCTTTTTCTTTTTTATCAGAAACCATCTACTCGCCGTTCAGATCCAAACCTGCCTAATCTGCCTGATATTGGAATCTATGATGAAGTTAGCAAGCTTGCTGGACTTGACATCACTGGTCAGTGAGCATTGTTCTTTATGTTCATTTACTTCAAAGCATTTGTATTTGCAGTATAGGCTCTGCACTGATAGCAATACTTGCAGGATGTTATGCAAAACTTTGAGATAATTGTGTGAATAAGTAATTTACATGTTTGTTTGTAGTTTTTTTTTAATAGTTTATTGTTTATATATAATTGTTTATATTCAACAATTTCCCTGAGGTTTGCACCAAAGGGATCAATAAAGTTCTATTCTTTTCTATTCTATTCTATTCTATTCTGTAGATGGGTCTCCCTATGGTAGACTGTGGGAAGGGTCCAGCCCACGGCCACAATCTCGTATTACCCATCTGACCCGGATCAATGTGGACAACTTCATCTTCCACAAGGTCTTAGGAAAAGGCAGCTTTGGCAAGGTACACAACAAACACGTCAGTGTGAATTAAACTGAGAATGGTGTCTGTGAACCTCCAGTGGGGTAGTGAGAGGATAGCCATGAGTGAACCAACAATACTCCTGTCAGCACTTATCAACTGTCATGAATAAAATAGAAACAACTAAACAGGTTGCTGGTGTTAAATCAAATAGTGAAGCAGTGCTAATTTTGACTCCTGTATATAAATGTCGTATTTTTAGTCAAAATGTAGTAATTTGATTTGTATTAGTTTTAGTCAGTGAGGACTAAAAACATTTTTGTTTAGCTTTTGTCACTGAAATTTTTGCTTTTTTAGTTTCTGTATCACCGAAGCACTTTAAAGCTACAGATGTCACCATCTTTGTGTACAGTCACTGTGGATACGCTCGTTATTCTCTTCCATGGTGAGGTTAATGGAAAAAGCTCAGTGTCCATGACCCTCTGCTTTGCAGTGATACAACAGACAGACTCTCCTCAGTAAATCCAGTTATCGTTTTCAACCTCTGACCCTCTCTTCCTCTGTATGTCCTGCTCACTTAGCATTAGCATTACCACAACTACATGCTCTCTCAACTGAAGAGCAGCAACCCATTCAGTAGATGATTCACTCAATTCACTGTTCACAAATCCTATTTATTGTCCAGTTTTAGCTTGGGAAGACACGCTAATTGGTTGGAAAACATTACTACTATTATCATACATTATTTCTTTCGTGAACATCTAGGGCAGGGATCTCCAACTCTGGTCCTTGTGAGCTACTGTCCTGCAGGTTTAAGATGTTTCCGTGCTGCAGCACACCTGACTCAAATTAATGGATCTCCAACAGCTTGTTGTCAAGTTCTACACAAGTCTGTTAATGATCCATTAATCTGAGTAAGGTGTGTTGCAGTACAGAAACGTCTAAAACCTGCAGGACAGTAGCTCATGAGGACCGGAGTTGGAGATCCCTGATCCAGGGGAAGCTTTAGATGGAAGGTTGTCATTAATCCGGGGACTGACTCATTTCTTCTGACTGCAACATGAAAGAATCTGACTGACCTGAATTAATAGCAGTACAATAGATCAAACAGATAAATCTACTTAACAAGACAAATTTGTGCTGGAGGAGACTTTGATTGGGATCTACAGTGCTTGATTCCATAACTCATTAAATCAATCAATCAATCAATCAATCAATCAATCAATCAAATTCAACCAATTTTAATTATATAGCACTTTTCATGTACAACAACAACAACACAAAGTGCTTTACAGCATTTAAAAACAACATAGCATTTAAGAACATGACATCATTTAAAAATATTACAACGTTTAAAAAATAAAATAACACTTTGCATTAAAAAAAAGTAATTACTTTTTTTGTCCATTTGTATGTCTTGAACATTATTGTTTAATTTTTATTTGTTGATGAAAAGGGTAAAACATTTCAGCAGCTTTTGTCTTGAAGTATTACTTTCTATTGAGTTTTAATTAAATTTTTGTAGTGAAAAATAGATTGTCATGAATATGTTACATCATAGTTTTTGTTGACAAACTTGAAGCTGCAGTGAGCTGCAGCCTAAATGTATAAATTTATCTGCATTTGTTCTTTTCTCTTCTGTAGGTTCTCCTGGCAGAGCTTAAGGGACGTGGAGAGTATTTTGCAGTGAAGGCACTGAAGAAGGATGTAGTGCTGATGGATGACGATGTGGAGTGCACTATGGTAGAGAAAAGAGTCTTGGCTTTGGCCTGGGAAAACCCTTTCCTCACACACCTTTACTCCACCTTCCAGACAAAGGTAGTCTATTTTCATGCCATTGCTACCATTATTCACATTTTCTCTTAATGGTTGATTCAAATGATTTCCTCCATAGTAAAAGTAAATTTGTCCACAGGAGCATCTGTTCTTTGTGATGGAGTATCTGAATGGAGGTGACCTGATGTTTCATATTCAGGAGAAAGGGCGCTTTGAACTCTACAGAGCCATGTGAGTCACACTGGTCACGCAACCATAACGACATACATACTCAATGGAAACAAAGCAGACTACATGCTGTCATTACTGCATGCTCTCCTGCCTATACAGTTGCTTGCAGATTCATACATACAGGATCAATGGGCTGATGGAAAGCAGATACTCATAAGCATACATTTAGCCTCTTTATGTCCCACCTCCACTGTGATTTTTTCCTTTTAAATTCTATACTGAAGTCTTATGGACTGACGTAGGGCTGGCACCCATTAGCTGCTGTTCATGAGCAGACAGGCCTTGTAAGGAGTGAACAGCTTTTAGTGCCTGTGTACTGTTGTGTGTGTGTGTGTGTGTGTGTGTGTGCTTATGGGGAAGGTATCAGTTACTACCACACAACCACCTCTCATCACACTATGGGAATCCCTCCAGAAAAAAAACAATAGCAAGCTGGTGAAATGAAGTGTTACAAAGTCCAAAACTTGTTGGCACCTCTATTGTCAGCTAAAGTTTGAAAAAGTTGCACATTTACAAACCTGCTAAGATTTCTTAGCAGGTGCTGTTGAACACACAGATAAAGCCTTAAAGAAATATTTTAAAGACTATTGGTTATTTTAAATGATTTTTAGAACAGACAAATTGTGAGTTTTTGGAACTGATTCAAAAATCAGCAATGCCAAAAACAAAAACGTTTTTCTTGAAAAAGGACGGCAATAAGCTGAATGTATTTTGTGTTATGTACAGATACATAGAGGTTTTTTTTTTTTTTTTTTTAATTTCAGAGCAGCGATTGATCTTAAAAGTGTAATCAGTTTGGTTTGGCCCAATTTAGCAGAGCAGTAAAAACAAACAAAAAAAAAAGTGGAGTTGGTTTGACAACCATCTAAGGTCATGTACGCTAGTTTTGTGTTATCATGACTGAATGCATTTCCCATAATCTAACTAGTGAACCAGCACACTGCTATGTGTACTGCTTCTTGGTTTTGAAACAACTGTTGTGTTCAGTCAGTGATCTTACTGTGTCGTTACATCTCCTGTAGTTAAACCAATGGCTGCTTTTTGGACCTGTGAAATGACAGGAGTTAATTCTCTACTCTGCAAACACAGACACCTGATCTTGTGTTGGCATCCACTCAAATCCTCCTCACTCAGTGACTGTATTCATCCTGGATAATTTATCCTCAGTGAGCGAAACAGGGAGAGTGGGCCGTTTCATCAGCTCACAATGCATTCATTTACGTGTTTGCATGTTTGCTTACATGCGTGTTTAAATTAGGGATTTCATGATACCACTAATTCAGGGTTTCCACTTGTCCTGGAAAACCTGCAAAATGATTGAGCAATTTTCCAGTCATGGAAAACATATAGAAAATGAGAAAAAAAAGTTCAAATGTCCTGGAAACAATTAAGTTATCCTGAAAAATTATTTATCCTCCCCCTGCCAATGCAAACGGGTTAAAAGTTATGCACATACGTGTCTGTTGTCACCTGATCTTCTGGGCAGCATTAAGGCATAGCGCTTCTCAGCTTCTAGCCGATGCAGCGGCCCACCTGACGCTACCAGGCAATCAAATTTGCATTTCGGCTTAGAGCAGTTCTGCAACCCAGTGCTTCCTATTGACTTTGTCACTAGATTTAGCGACTCTTCAGACCCCGTTAAGGACTTAGCACCCAGAGACAAAACTAGTGACTGTAAGTTGAAAAATGACGCTAGTACTGGTTCGGGAGTGTGAGGTTTTTCTCTTCCGTGGGCGGCCACAGGCTCCTCTCTGGCCTCCATTGAGTGACAGGCAGTGAAAACTGTAACTATTACATGTTCATTTGAACCGCTGGCATGGGCATTGCACCCGTGGGTGATGTGGGTGTGACAACACCCGCACTTTTACTTAAACATAATTTCATCACTGTAGAATATTGACTGTGAACACAGTAACACTGACCTGTCACAGATACTGTAGGTCTGCACATGCGCAATGTATATTGATGCACCGATACCGTCCAGTATGTACCTGCTTTATTGTCTCCTGCTCCCTACTCTTTATTAAAGCCAAGTTCTGATTTAAGCCGGTCGCCTTTATTACCACAACACACAACCACAACATCACCCTCACTCCAGAGGTGTGTGGTGGCATCCGCATAAACTACATCTTCCTTCAACAGTTGAGGCACAGCTGAGTGCCTCATGTCTGGAATCAAACTTTCAGTCAATGATGCCCGTCAACACACAGATACATGATGTGTGTGTAGCGGACTGTCTGCCTCTATATAATGGTGACATCACGGTGACATCTCTCACTACATGCTCTTACGTCTCAGCTCTGGTAAAGATGCAGACCCGAGAATGTGAATTTAGCGTGCACACGTTAATAAGCATGCATATCCAACTACTACAGAGTAAACCATCAGCATGTCAGTCTGCAAACACTACACAGAATATCAAAGGCCAGAGGTGCTCAATAAACGAGGTTATAAACGCTGGAACTAGGGGAGATGGGGACAAGATGAACCAGAGGGTGTCTACTGTTTACATGTCATTATGCACATTTTTTTCCTCACTGAAGCAAACTTTTTCCTCTTAAACCCTGATCAGCATATTAAGCTACATTTAGGCATATTCTGGATACATTTGGCATATCTTTTGGAACACTTGGGGGTGGGGCACATTTTGAGTATATTTTTTGTTCATAATCTGATCACATTTTTGAACATTTTAGGTATATATTGGCATACAAAGGGCACAAGGGTATTTTTCAGGTTCATTTTGGAATTTCCTGAACATATTAAGATATATTTCGTCATATTAAGGGCACATTTTGGCTTCATTCTGTCATTATCTGGGCACATTTTGTTACAGTTGGAGTAAATAGTGGCATTTTTGGCCATATTTCTGTATTAAATTCTCCATTGGGCCAGCAGAGTCACATTAGGCTCCATATGAGCTTAAGAGGTTGAAGAAAAAGACATTATTTCTTTTAGCTGAAATGAAAAGAGACCATTGGGTCTTAATGTAATTTACACACATATAAGTGAATGCAGAAAAAAAAAAAAACTCAAAATAACAAACAAAACAAAAGGGAAATCGGAGAAGTGTGGCAGAGAAAAAGGACGAGCTGGAAGCTCTAGTACAAACACAGGAAAGCCTGCAGGACAGTGTAAAGAAGCTACAATAACTGAGCAACTTTTTTGAGGAACTTTTTTTAGAATGACATTGCTTTGTTTTTTTTATTGACCTTATGGCACTTCAGGAAAAAATAAATAAATTTAGTTATATTCATGATAATTTATGTTTTGCTTGACTATTTTGGCAGTGATTTAATTATTATTATCTTTTAGAAATGTGGGTGCCAGATGGGTAAAAAAAAAAAACAAAAGAAAAATGAGGTGTGCAGTAAACTGATATGAAACAAAGGAAATTGTTTTTCAGTGATTTATTGAAAATATACAAATATTTTTGGGTTAGGTGCAGGAGAGAAAGTAAGAGAGAAGTGAAAGTTGAGTTGGGAAATGGCCAATTGAACATTGTAACTCCAATTTGTCATGCTAATTATTACGCTGTAATCTGTGGGTGTGTTTGCATTATTCTATGATACATTTGTCATAATTATTTTTCATAGATTAATTATAGCCGTAGACTGCACATCAAATGTCTGAGTAATAAACATTGAAACAATCTGGGTAAATGCAAGCTACAACTGTAGAAAACACTTCCAAAGAATGAGGGGAACAGGGGAATGTATTAGTGCATGATGTGATAATTTGTGTCTGTAGCGGCTGAAAAGTCCTGGAAAATAATTTCAGCGAAAGAGTGGGAACCCTGTAATTTGTTAGTTGGCACCAAAACCACAGAAATGCTCTCATTTTTGACCAAATTCTATACAAAATATTCATAAAATCACTTACTAGGATGTGTTTTAACACAAATTCTTTCATTTTAACATATACGCAGTGTGTTTCTGACATACCTGTACAAGGCTATATTTTGACAGACTGAATGGTAACGACAGCAGCCCACTAATGTTATGAGCAGCGCCCAGCTCACGTTATATGCTAACATAAACAAAATAGTATCTGCCAACGTTGTGAGTTAAGCATTGCTACAACCAATGCAACTGTACCAACAACACTGTAGGATCTAAACATTTTGATAGGATGTTGTTAATGTAGAGTTTACAACTGACACTCACTCTGAGTAATGTGTCCAGATCCGTATGTCTGTCTTTGAGCTGCTAAGAAAAGACCAAAGTGATTCTTCCTTTTGTTTGAAATGCTCTGTGAGACCTTTTGCATCCTGTCTTTGGTTGTACCAGATAAACCACCTCAAACACTGGGAGGTTTTTTAGCAACTTGCAGCAGACCTATTGCTACACTTCACTTGCCACTCAAGTATCTCCAGTACCTATAAGATTTAGGGTACCTTCTGTGTAACAGAAAAACAAATACCATCACGTTTTTTTAGAATTTTGGCATCAGCTCGGTGTCAAAGACTCAGTTCTCATCAAATACCTAGTTTAAACATGATAATCCTGTGCGTTGCTGCACAAGCTGTCACAGTCAAATGGATTGTGTCTCTTGGACTCCTTTGGTTATGCAATATTTTTCCTTAGGCAGTGACTGAACTACAGAGTTTCAAGTGACCTCTTACCAGCACAAATGCCTGTTTTCCCAGTAGCTACTGCTAACCTGTTGATCTATCGAAGAGAGTCAAGTCCATCATTTCAAAATTCCTCAGACAGCAGAGCCCAACTTACTTCCACCACACATACACAATCTAGACTTCATGTTACATTCTGCCTTGCGTTTATGCTGTTGTTTTATAGTGTAGACATGCATATACATAAGTGCACTGTCTAGCTTGGCCTATGAGAGCTAGTATATTTATATGTGCTGTTAAGTGCACAATATTGAGTAGATAGAACCTGACAGCCTTTTCAGTCCTTATCAGCGGGTCATTTACAGTGAATAACAAGGAACTGGGTTAGAGCGATGGCTACTCTGTCTGCTCTCAGGACTCAATCGTTTCACCTGACACAGATGACAAGAGAAGCAGGTCAGCGATAGGCTAATCTTTCGGCTCACAGTAGCTCTTGGGTTTCACATTATGAGAGTGTTATTCACCTGTCTCCTACTCCATACAAATGTCCTCCTCAATAATTCAGGTCTACACTGAAATGAGTCTGCAGTGACACCAGTGTTCGGCTGCCAACTGTGCAGTGAGACAGCTACAGTGCAGGCCTGTAGCTTTCCATCAGAGATGAGTGGCTGATATCTGTCTGTCTCTACTACCTTTGCCTTCCCAGGTACTACTCTGCCGAGATCATTTGTGGTCTTCAGTTCTTACATTCCAAAGGGATCATCTACAGGTCAGAGCTGAATGTACAGCCTATACACTTAAAAGTTGTGTTGTTTTCCACACTGTAGCTGTCCCTTTTTTTCTTCACTCACTGATGATTTTGGTTCAGCTGTAAGTGTATGAAAATGAACTTGCAGAGATGCTTAACTTGCTTGGTTAGATAATCCCACACATTTTGACACATTTTTTTTTTTCTGAAAGTTTTATTATATTTGTGCGGCAATGCAGTTGTGAGCAAGGACTGTTTAGAAAACTGTCACTGTGGATGCAGGCCAAAAATGCTAAAAAGATGAAAACAACAAAACATGGATTTTGTGAAGAAGAAAATGTGAATTTGTTCATCTCTTTGGGTGTGAAAGGTGACACAAACATTTGAGGAATAATGTAACTGCTAGTAAAATAACATATACATGGTGATATAATTTTCATGTGCATACTTATTTCAAGTAAGTTTCAGATGTCTGCACAGTTTAAAATATGTAAAACAACTGTTATGGTCCTTAAAAAAATGTTTTAAACCCTGAGTTTTGAGGTTCTTTCTCAATTGATGTTCTAAGGCTGTGAAGCGTCAAAATTCTCTTTAAAACTCTTAATTTTAAGGTTCACTCACTTTTCTTTCCAATTCTGCTGTGATTGTTTTGTTTCCAGAGATCTTAAGTTAGACAATGTGATGCTGGATCACGAGGGGCACATAAAGATTGCTGACTTTGGCATGTGCAAGGAGAATGTGTTTGGAGAGAATCGTGCCACAACTTTCTGTGGTACTCCCGACTACATTGCTCCAGAGGTACATTGTTCCAAAATGTTTTGTTTTTAATATATATTCATATCTGCAGCTGATTTGCTTTTATAGTCTACAAACAGGTTTTAATGCCTGTCTGCAATAAGTCTAATTTCTAATTTTGTGTTTCAACTCAGATCCTACTGGGACAGAAATACTCATTCTCAGTTGACTGGTGGTCATTTGGAGTGTTGCTGTATGAGATGCTGGTGGGTCAGTCGCCCTTTCATGGAGATGATGAAGACGAGTTGTTTGAGTCCATCCGCATGGACACTCCCTACTATCCTCGCTGGATCAGCAAAGAGGCCAAAGACCTGCTTGAGCGGGTCTGTACCATACCGTTCATACACCATACAGTCACCCTGAACAGTATTTGGACTCTTAAACTATCAGCAAACCTCCATGAACTTCATAACAGTATTCAAGAAAATGTTAAACTGGTATTTGATTCATAGAAAAACACATTCAGCACAACTCGGCTCAGATTAACGTGCAGAAAGACAACAGCTTTTATAGTTTTAGAGATGTCTGTTATATTCGAATGAATCCAAACTCAACTGACATGCATCTGATCGTGGAACATTTATGTCAAGAAAACCAGGGAAAAAACTTCAACCTGATTTCGTTAAGGGCAGTTAAACATGTTGGTGGAAAAGTCAAATGTCTGTGGCTATTTTTTCTTACAGTAGTGTCGATGAACTTTAATTTATTAATGAAACTAAGAACTCTAAAGTTTCTGGAGGACTTTTTGGTGGCAAACTTCATGAAATTTTTCAATAAAAATTGTCTAAGTGACAGAAAGATAATGATTTAAAGCACCAGTCTATTGAACGAGTATTTTGCCCAAGACAAAATTCAACTCTTAGAGCGACCCTCTTAAAACTCTGACCTAAATCCACAGAGCCTTTGGAATATGCCTTGAAGGAAAAGTCGTGAGTTTGTTCCACGCTGTAGTGTGGATAAACTAAAAGGTTTTCTGGCTGAAATGTGCAGCAAACTTTCACTCCAGCTGTTAGACTAATTGACTGAGTGTAAGCATACATAATAAAACAGTAGAAAACTCCTGTAGATTCATACACCTTTCAAAAACGTTTTGAGGCCACTGTGTCGTGGGATATTCCTTAACCTTTCTGACTTTGCTCTCCTTTTGTTTTTTGTTGTTTTTCCCCAGTTGTTCGAAAGGGACCCAACTCGCAGGCTAGGAATTGTGGGTAACATCCGGTTACACCCCTTCTTCAAGACCATTAGCTGGCAGGCCTTAGAGAGGAGAGAGGTTGAACCCCCCTTCAAACCTAAAGTGGTATGCCCCACACGTCACTGAGGACTGAAATATGAAAAACTATGAACAAACTCCAATATCTGATAAGTGTCCTTGATTTATGTATTTTGCTGATGTTTCTTTGTGGTCAATTACAGAAAGCACCCAACGACTGCAGCAACTTTGATCGGGAGTTCCTCAGCGAGAAGCCTCGTCTATCCTACAGCGATAAGAACTTCATAGATTCCATGGACCAGTCGGCATTCGCTGGTTTTTCATTCATAAACCCCAAGATGGAGCACCTTTTAGAAAAGTGATTCTTGTAATGCCAGTCTGACTCAGGTTGCGTTTTTACTGTTGATGGAATAGTTCACTTACCTGCAAATGAGTGGGGTGTTGCACAGTCAGTATTTATGTAACCTTATTTTAAGCACAAACTCTTCTCTGTGGGTACTTATAGAATTAGAAGCAGGATCTTGTACAGTATATATTGATGTTATCGTGTTTATGCGCATGCTTATTATTTGTCGAGGCTGTGAAAGCCTGTATGAGTAATAATATAAGGGTGGGAGGTTAAAAATCCTTACATTCCACTTGACGTAACTGCTACCATCTGCAGCCATTTTGTGTCCCTTTTACATTCAATTCATCCAGCTGAGGATAGAAAAATTATGAAGCGGGGAAAAAACTGTTCCGTGTACTTCAGATGAAGACTGCGTGAGTGAAGTGGCCGCATGTTTAGAAATCTCAGACCAACAAAAACCTGTCCATCTTTTAAAAATATAGCTTAATAATGAATGTTACCTGTTTTTGAAACATCTGAATTCTTGCCTTTGAGTTGATGAGTCAGAAGAACTGTAAGAATAAGAGGAACTTTTGGTTGTGTGGATTAGTGAACAGTGCCATGTGAAGATCAAATTTAAACAGCTGCAGCTGTTCTCAGATGTGTTGAGCGGTCCTGTCTGTGGATGGAGGGCAGACTGAGTGCAGCCATGGCTGCAAAGAGTTTATTAATGTTACATGACTGAAATCAGTGAGGGGGAAGTCACTGAACTGCTGTATATAGACAATGTATATGTATATTGTTGTAACATGTATATTGGTTCGCTGAGGATGTACTTTTTTTACTGTCTCCATATTTTACATCTGATTAAAAAACCATTGACTCCCAGGGCTGTGCTCATTTTTAAACTTCTGGATTTTACATAATACTCTGTCAAAACCGGATTGACTTCTCAAAACAAATCTGACTTTTAGCGGTTGTATCTCAGCCTACCTATGATCCTACTTGTCAATATTAAAGAAAGACTCCTTGGGTCATCAATTGAATGTTATGAATATTTATTTTGAATTTGGTTTGTGCTTTAATCCTGGAAGGTCACTGTACTGTCACAAGGTTATATCTGTTTGAAAACAAGAAGCAAATGGCACTTTTTTTCAAAGGTTGCCAAGTGTGAAACATTGATTGAAGAGGCCGCCGAATACTACTATGACTAATATTGAAGTAGCATCTGTTGTGCTTCATTTCTGTTGCATGAAACTTGTTAGAGTTACAGTTAATAAATTCCACAACAGATTCAATAAGATCAGTGTCTACTGACTCATTGTTAAAAGGCTTTTTACTCTCTAAATTACAGTTGTGATACGGCAAACATTGCTGGAGATTTACAGATCTCACTCTGGTCTGCCGATAAGAATAAGGAAATTAATTGTATTTCAGAATTTTCTGCAGTAACTGATCCATAGAGTTCAAGGTTGTTCACTTCAGCCTTTCTATTTTACTGCTGTTATTAACTAAATTTTGGGATATCTTGTAAAGCCAGTGTTCTCAGAACATTTTCCAGCAAATCCAACTAAAACAGGTGCTTCTTAGCTCAAGTGTACAAATGAGTGCTGGACCACACTGCACTTAAAAGCCTTTTGTAATGCAAGCAGACTAACATTTCGACACGACTGTGTCTTCATCGAAATCAAAGTGGACAAAGACATGAGGGATACACACGGTGCATTTTGAAGAACTGAATTTGTCATGTTTTCTCTAAGCTGCCAAATCTGACATATTTATAGCTTTACTTTTGTACCTTTTATCCAGGTAACTTTAGGCAAGATTTGTCTCAATTCTGACATGATGAAATAATTGATTTGTCAAATGTCCTATGATTTGTCACTCTTAGCAGATGCTTATTTTGACACTTTGTGTAACTCTATTCCACTAACGATAAGAGAGGTCTGTGTTTCTGTGTTTCTTGCATTGTGTTGGAGGTGTTTCACTTGAACACTGACTGTAGCAGCTCCCACCCTTGGATATATCATGCATTAGATTTGAAACCCTGTTTAAACAAAAAAACAAATGACAACTATACACTGGTTTAGACTGACTATATGTCTGCCTCATGTCTTCGTCCATTTTGACTGTGATGAAGGCATAGTAGTGTTGAACTGACACAGCAAAAGGCTGTAAATTAGACAATATTCTCCAGCACTGTTATGGGAATTTTCTTTTGTCAAGTGAAAACCTAAAAATGTAATTAAACTAAATAAAACAGCCAAGAGAATAAAGGGTTAATGCTTTGATGACCTGACTCAGTTTTTAATGCCCTGGGAACACTCAGTATCAGTAGACAATTATGGACACCTGCAAATGGGATTTTTGCACTTGTTGAATCGAGAAAAATTATGATCATTTAGATAAGATGCTTGCTCACTGTTATATACATCAATGCTTTTAAGACCAGTAAGCTTCATTCAAGCAATGTCTTTGGAAAAATGGCAAAAAATGTTAGCAGATGTATATATTTTAAACCTGTTTGACAGAGTAAATTGCATTTTGTTTGTGTTATTTTATGGATGTACAATACACCTCTTAGGATAAATGCATCACACATTTTTAAAAAAATCATTTGATCAAATGGAGAATCTTAATAATGACATTGCAGATGTACAGTCATCCTCAAATGTATTCATACCCTCCCATTACAGAAGGAAAAAAACAGCTGTCACTGAAATAAGTTGAAATTGACAAAAGTAATAATAAATAATAATTTAATGAAAATCATGACATTGCTTTTGAATTGTGGTTCAACAGAAATATTTTAAAAAGAACAACCACAACATCAACAAAAAAAACAAGCAAACAAGCATGAGCCGTAAACTAATATTTTGTTGAACAACCCTTTGAGCCAATCACTGAAGTCACGTGTTTTCTGTTACTCTCAATCAGACTTCTGCACCTGTTGACAGGTATTTTGATTTTTGCCCACTGCTCATCAGCAAAGTGCTTTAATTTGTCTGGAACATTTTTTAAAATTATTATTATTCTGTTCAATCATAATTTAAAAGCAATGTTTTATTTTACTAAATTATAATTTAGCAAATTTGTATTTATTATTACTTTTTCCAGTTTCTAGTTATTTGAGTGCCCATTGTGAATTTTGTCTTTTCTTTAATGGAAGGGTATGAATACATTTGACGACGACTGTATTTGAGCCAATCAGCTGCCAGAGATCATCAACAGGAAAGTTACGCCCTCTAGCGGCACCACGCCGAATAACACGTTGTCTGACGTCAACGCGTAACGTCTGTACGTACAGTGTGTACGGAAGTAATTGTGTTCTTGTGGCTTCTAGCTTTCTTCTGCTGCCCAGTCAGTGTTTGTCCCTTCACGCTTGCTTTTTGGAAATAGGGATATTGTTATCGGTTTTTAGGATTTCACGTGGACAATGTTCACGTTACGATTGTATAATGATGTTTCTTCGTAGAAAGCAGCGGATACTTCGTCGACTTTACACTTAATAGAAGTTTGTCACGAGAAGTCCAAAATGAGCTCTCAGGATATACTGAAGAATGCGTCCACTTTAGCATCGTATAATGTGTTGCTCCAGGTAATTAAACTCATAACTGGGCCACGTGAAGCACAACACTGCAAATGTCTTAAGTGTTAATATTGTTTTTTGTTGGTTTTATTTCCAGGTGATGTTCCGTGTGCTCACCTTCCTACTGAATGCATTCACTCTGCGGTTTGTGTCCAGAGAGCTGATTGGGGTCGTCAATGTCAGGTGAAGAGGGCAGGGGGTTGTGAGAATGTCAGAAGCCATGAAAGAGCTCAATGACACCAGATTTTCCCTGCACCAGGTGCTGTAACGTGCTCTTTCGCTGTCTCTATTGTGCAGGCTTACATTGCTGTATTCCACATTAGTGTTTTTATCCAGAGAGGCTTTCCGGAGAGCCTGTTTGAGTGGGGAATCAGGGACAAACCAAAGCTGGAGACAAGTTGTTAACCTACTATGGCTGACGTGAGTAAACAGAATTAGCAGTTTGATATTGTGCTTTCAGCTCTGATGCCCAAGTCGGATTCTTTTTTCTCATTTTTCAGACTGCCGCTTGGTGTGGTGTGGGCAGCCCTGCTGTCCTGTGTGTGGCTGTGGCTGCTGGAGGTCCCAGATGCCGACACTGTCCCTTACTACAGTCCTGCTGTGGTGCTTTTTGCCTTAGCAGGAGTACAGGAGCTCCTGGCTGAGCCTCTTTGGGTCTTGGCTCAAGCTCACATGTTTGTTCAACTGAAAGTGGTCGCAGAGAGCTTAGCAATGATTGCTAAGTGCAGTATAACTGTGGTGCTGGTGATGTTTGCCCGTGAATGGGGACTTTACATCTTCTCAGCTGCTCATGTGAGAAATCTGTTGAAGTCTTCTGCATTTTCTCTTTGAATATGTCCTTAAACTTGTATTGATTTTAAGATATATATGCACTTTTCTTAGTTGGTGTACACAGGATTCTTGGTGCTATGCTACGCTGTTTACTTCATTCGTTTCTTGGGGTCGAAAGAGGCAGCCAAGAAGAACTTCCCCCTGCAGCACGTTCGAGATCTGCTGCCCTGCAGAGTTGATGGAGAGGTAGTAGGCCTAGCATAATATTATGCATAAGTGATTCTTCATGTCCACAACATGCTACTGTGTGTTCCAAAATGCTCTGTTTATGATTTAGAATAGATATTCCTGATCTCTTGCTGTGTTTAAAGCCACTAGTTGATTGGACTCTAGCCAGACTCACATGGAGCTTCTTCAAGCAGTCCTTCCTGAAGCAGATCCTGACAGAGGGCGAGCGTTATGTCATGACCTTCTTGAACGTCCTCAGCTTTGGCGACCAGGGTGTTTATGATATTGTCAATAATCTGGGCTCCATGGTGGCACGCTTCATCTTCTTGCCAATCGAGGAAAGCTTCTACATCTTTTTTGCCAAAGTGCTGGAGAGAGGACGTAGTGTCAAAAGTCAGAAACAGGTCTGAGCTGTGGAAATATAAATAACCATGTCTTTGTGAATGGCTATTTAGGAATCGACAGTGATTTTACTTGTTGTGGGTTTTGCTTACAGGAGGAAGTTGCCATTGCAGCAGAAGTCTTGGAGCGCCTGCTGAAACTGGTGCTGGTGATTGGTCTGATTATCACAGTGTTTGGCTATGCTTACTCGCACTTGGCTCTGGATATTTATGGCGGCTCTCTGCTGAGTAGTGGGGCAGGTGTGTCAGATACTATCCAGTTACAGCAGGAAACACCCAACATAAGAAACAGCATCATATGAAATTCTTTTTTTGAGTGCTTTCAGTAGTATACTTTTTTTCTGTCAAAGGACCCAGTTTGCTGAGATGCTACAGCTGCTACGTTCTCCTGCTCGCTGTCAATGGTGTTACAGAATGCTTTGTGTTTGCTGCCATGAGCCAAAAAGAAGTGGACAAGTAAGAATGTAGACACACACAGCCACACATACAGTTATTACAGTGCATATAAACTGTCAAGTTAACACTGTGTTTCTGTTTTGTCCTCAGGTATAACCTGGTCATGCTGGCTCTGTCTGTGTCCTTCCTCTTCCTGTCCTACATGCTGACATGGTGGGCTGGTGGTGTTGGCTTCATACTGGCAAACTGCCTTAATATGGGCCTCCGCATCTTACACAGCCTGCTTTACATAAACCGTTACTTCCAGTTCAGTCAGTGGAAACCTCTGAGAGGCCTGTTGCCCTCCCCACTCGTCCTGCTGGCACTTGCTGTCAGTGGAGTTGTTACAGCAATTTCTGAGGTACCAAAGAACCAGGTTCTATCTAAGTGTTAACTATTAGATAGCAGATTTAATCTGAATAATATGTTATTGTTATTGTGTTTTGAATCTTCTACACATATGTGGCCCTAATTTGAGCTTCTGTGTTCTCTGGTTTCAGGCTGTTTTCTGCTGTGACAGTGGCTGGCTGCTGAGGCTGGTCCATATCGGTGTGGGAGCAGTGTGTCTGCTTGGTGTGCTTGGAGCTGTTCTCCTCACAGAGACTCAACTTATTCAGTTTGTGAGAACTCAGCTGTTGCCGCAATACAGGAAGAAACGCACTTAAAGTAGGAAGAACATTTTAACACCTGAGTGGAAGAAAATATCTGTTCTACTACAAACTGTAGTGCTACTGTTTTACAGTTACTGGCTTTGTAAAAATAGAGGAACAACTTATTTTAAACAGACCTCATATATGTTTCATGAGTGTGTGTCTGTGTGTGTGTTTTCACTGTAACATTCCTGTCTTGTATGTACAAGCATGAAGAAATGTCATGACTGTTTAAAGATTTAATTGTGGGTAAAAAAAAGAAAAAGAAAAATGAATGTATTTTTAAGAAGACTGTTAAATTTGTTACTGGCCTTTTTTATTTTTATTTTTTTATTACAGAAATTAAAAAGGCAACTTAATTCAAATGTATGGTGTTAATTAAGTGCAAAAGTAAGAAATGGTAGGATGCCAAATGACCAAAACCCCTCATTTATTGTATAATTTTTTACTTTTTTTGGAAGGTTCAATCTGTTACTTGAGCTGTTTTTAGTTCCACTTGAAACCAGAAATTTACATACACTGTAGAAAAAGACACATAACCTTTTTTCTCACTGTCTGACATTAAGTGTGACTAAACTATTCCTGTTTTAGATCAGTTAGGATTACAAAATCATTTCTATTTGCTAAACACCAGAATAATGAGAGAGAGAATTTTTTTTTGATATTTTTTTTATTACTTTCTTCAAAGTCAGAGGTTTACATACATTTCTTTAGTATTTGGTAACATTGCCTTTAAATGTATGACTTGGGTCAAATGTTTTGGGTTTCCTTCCACAAGCTTCTCACAATAACTTACTGGTTTTTCAGCCCATTCCTCCTGACAGAACTGGTGTAGCTGAGTCAAGTTTGTTGTCCACCTTGCTCCACAGGCCTTTTCAGTTCTGCCCACAAATTTTCTACAGGATTGAGATCAGGGCTTTGTGATGGCCCACTCCAAAACACTGACTTTGTTGTCCTTAAGCATCTTTGTAACTAATTTGGTGGTATACTTGGAGTCATTGTCCATTTGAAGACCCATTTGCGCCCAAGCTTTAACTTTCTGGCTGATGTCTTGAGATGTTACTTCAATATTGCCACAATATTGTTCTTTCCTCATGATGCCATCTATGTTGTGAAGTGCACCAGTCCCTCCTGCAGCAAAACACCCCCACAACATGATGCTGCCACCCCCATACTACACAGTTGGAATGGTGTTCTCAGGCTTGCAAGCTTCCCCTTTTTCCTGTCTGAATATACAGTTGTAGTTAATCATCAAGACATTGTATCATTGGTGTCGTGCAGGATATATGTAGGTGTATGGCATATACCTACTTATTTTTTTTAGTATACATTACATATAACTACTTCTGAAGCCCCTCTGATGTGAATCGTTCAGTAGTGCGCTGCATTAAAACTATTTTGACATGGAAGCCAATGACATGACCCGTCCTGCTCTGCCTTTGGTTGGTGAGCAGTTCCAGCCTTTGTTTGTTGGGTTGGTTAGTTTTAGGCATGAGGGAGAACCACTTTTTTTAAACTGCTCTGGACTCAAAAGTACACTGAGGAATCCGTTAGAAGCACTGCAGCCATCTTTGAGTCCCTAAAGTTGATTTGTAAGGATGTATTGAGTATTGTCAAATTTAGTTTTGGAAAATTGGAGCTGTTATTCAGAATATTTACTGAACTCATCTCGTGATTGAAACACCATCTTTTATATTCATTATAGTAATATTAGCAGACTTTCTTTTGACAATTTGTGTTGCAATGGTGCTACACTCTGGCCTTCACTGTATGTTACAAATCAGCTGTTCCATGCGAGAGTTTTTAAAAGAAACTACTGGCCTATAAACTTGCAAGAAGAAAAAATAATTTCAGAGTTTTCATGTGTGGATGGACTGAGGATTACAGAATAGTTCACTCAGAATGCATCACATCCTAAATTCAGGGAGCCAGTGCTGATTACAAATTCAGCACCACCTCTGTAGCTAATGGGAATTTCATAATGTTCTTTTATTCATAAAGTGAAGCTGCGGAAGTCACGTGTGCAAACACTGCTGTCCCTTTTTTAAGTGAACTAAATATGCAAAAGTAATCTTCATGTCACTGTTTAGAACAAAGCATTTATTCTTTGCTGGATTGGCCACTTAAAAAAAAAAACTGAGGACATGGATTAAGAGTATACCTATTTCTTCAGACACTGTTGCACCACTGCATGGCACAAGACAACACACAAGCTAAAATACAGTGAAACTGGTATAAATCATGACCACTTGCTTGGGTCCTGTGTTTATGAAAACCAGTTTGAGTTTATATTGTGAGAAGTACTGACTTCCTAGAGCACGGGCTGGCACCAGGGATATGATTTTAATCTTTTTTATTTTTTTTTACTAAGTGATAGCTCAGAAGGTCGTCAGAGTTGATGTAGCTGGAAAATTCTTTGTAGTTATTTGTTGATCTGTCCTCTGTACTAACTGCCACTGAACTTAGGGTCCCTAAGGACTGAATAATGATGTAATTATAGAAAAGGAGCAGGAAGGGGTGGGATTAGCATTCTTTTACAGCAGAGCAATGCTTGTTTATTTGCCTCTCGGTTTCTTTTTAACACTTATTACAACAAACTATACTGGATTTCCCAGGTGGTTGAACATCTTAGGACAGAGAAGTACTTTTCTTTTACGGCATATCTTTTGAACTTGCTTATAGCTGTTGGTGTTAGAAAGTGGTTGTTTCGCTGCAGTAGGGACGAGGAGAACTATCCAAACAGATATTTATGATCATCCTGCATCTTTGGGATTTATACGATGGAAAGTAATGCTACAAGTTGCAGCAGTGATCTCATCATTTTCTACTGAAAGCAGAGAAGCGCAGACCATGACAAAAACCAGAGGCAGAGAGACAGAAAAGAGGAGGAGTCAGTTCTCTCATTACATCATTTATTAGGGTTAAGAGCAGATTTGTTGTCCAGCGGAGAACCACTGCTGGGTTGTGTATATGAGTGTGTGTTGGGCTGGACCTGCAGCAGAACAAGAGAGACAGCTGACAGAAACAGGAGAATTTCTTATCTTCAACGACTTCAACCATCATGTCTCAAGTAAGACCGCCGTTTGAGTTTTCAAAACAAGTCATTATTTTTCACACAGTTGAAAGGACTTGTTGCAGGAATCTCTGTTTTTTTTGTCCTTTACTGCCCTTTAGCCTGGTCAGGAAGATGAACAAATGCAGCGCCCTGAAGTAAGAGAAGAGGACGTGACTGAAGCAAAGAACAGACTGGGTGGTAGTGGGCCTGCAAAGAGCAAGACAATTGAAGTTATGGAGGAGTGCGGTGAGGACACGCATATAAACACACACAGAAATGTGATTTGACACTAGACTTGTAGATGATAGTGAAAGGAAACAGTCCTTCAGTTTCTGTATCTGGTTAAGCTGAGATCACATTATGGCAGCGAGTCTGTGTGAGGGGCGTTTCCCATGATGCTCAAGTTTCCACTCCATATACAGAGAGGGAAGAGGAGTTGTAATGATGGGAGATTCCTGTCAAACAGAGCTCTCTCTCTTCCCCCTCTTTGGCCCAGTGGGAAGTTTGTGTATTGCTAAAGTGAACATCAAGTCTCGTGTAACACTTCCTACTGCTTTCCTCGCAGTGAAATATCCTGATCGTTGATTCCTTTTCCTTACAGAGAAAATGGGTAAAGCTGCTCCCTCAGTGTTCAGCAGAGCGAGGTCAGGAGCCGAGACCGTTCTCAACACACGATCAGCTCCAAAGTAGGAAGGAAGTGTCCTGACTGTGACTGTACAGCACCTGTTCCATGTTAAGGGTTTCGGATCAGCTGTTTACCTGCTGTACTTCAGTCTGTGGAAAATCTTGTTTTAATCCTTATGTTTTATTTTAGTGTGCATTTCTTTGCTCCGGTCTTATTTTTACTCACTGTTGGCTCATTTTTCACTGCAATATAAAGTCCTGCACCTCAATGTAAACAGCACAGTCACAGCTAGAAGTAGAAAGAACTCAATAATGCATTTAGTGCAGTGTAACAAAGTAATAACGGCATAAATCAGAAAAAAATGAAAAACAGTAGAATTTGTAGTTGTTCTTATCTATGTGATAAACTGCTAAAGAATTTTCTTAAACATCTACGTAATTACTAGTTAATTCAGTTTTAATGTTTAAAATTGCTATTTTTTGTTAATTCAATTATTAGGTTACACCAGCATTAACTGAGATTTAAAGAGAAAAATGTATGAACCCAAAAGCAATGTTGCAACTGATATTTCTGAACATACAAAAAAATAACTTTACACAACGACCTAGACTGATTGTATGCCAAATGTGACAACTACTTAAAGATAAATAAAAAAAGTCTGAAATAAGTGTCATTAAAAATGTGACACAACAATTCAATAAATATTAGTCAAAATTGAGGCAATGTGTTTTTCTTTTTATTCAAAAATGAGCTTCATCAATAAACAGAATGAACAGAACTTAAAATTTATTAGAACACAACTACTACAGTAACGAGGCAGACACAGGGACACTAGAATGAGCCGTGGTGGAGAGTAGAGATGGAAAAATGGATGAAGAAATAAACGCCGGCCCTGTGACCTGCTACAGAAACTATAACAAACTGTTTTATTTCATAAACTTGTGATGCTGATCTTGGAGGATTTTGGCCGAGGACTTGGCGTCGTAGAACAGCTCGTTGATCTCTTCTACCTGCTCTCTCTCCACGGTCTCTTTTCCCTGAACTCGGCCCAGCAGGCTGGCGGGTGTTAGCAGCTGTACAGCGTACCTGAAAGGAAACAGAAAATAAAAAGCCACTAAGTATACAATGGTTTATGATAGAGTAAAGTGAGAAGTTGCAAGTTTTTTCTTGTGTGAAATGTTACAAATGTTCTGCGTCAATGTTGCTTTAGCATAAAGAAAATTCAGGATTATGTTAATTTTTTAATCTTTTTGTGTTGGCGCCAAATAGGACAGGAAATGTTACGGTACCTATGAGGCTCATGAGTTGTTGCCAAGCTGAACCTAACACACTTTGGTATGTTTAATAATTCACATGTACATTTTAAAAAATCTGTTTTGATGAGAAAAGTGCAGGAAATGATGCTTACACTCAAAAAACAGGAGCACTGTGGACACTCAGTGTGAAGCTGCTCGCATTCCCACTATATTTATCAACACTCAGTATGTATGTGTGTACCTGAGGGTGGTCTTGGTGCCAATCTCTGCCAGGTGTGTGAGAGCCTCCTCGCTGATACTGATCCCCTCAGTCTGAGCGCGGATCTTGATGATCTACAAGCCACAGCCTTGTTAGTGACAGATACACCGACGAGAATATCCTACATCCTACAGAAATGTTATTTTGACAGCACCTGCTTCATCTCCTGCGGCGTGTACAACATGGTGCGGATTATCATGACTCTATCCAACAAGTCCAGAGGAATCCCGTGTGGAGAACTGATGTCCTCCGTGCCCCTGGTAAACCACAGTGCACAGTTTAAACTATGAATCTTAGCAAGAAACGTCTCTGTCCTGTTTAAGTCGGAGGACTGTGTTTCTCTACATTAAACGGTTTTCATGCCTCTCACCTAATCAAGCAGTTTCCCCTGTTAGAAGCGAACACAACAATGGGGGCGATGGTGCTCTCCAACGCTCGGTGGAGGTACGTGAAGCATTCGATGTCCAGCATGTGCACCTCGTCCACGAACAGCACGCCAGGTACAAGCTCAGCTACACCTTGGTCTATGTAGCGGTTCACCACCTTGTTGATCTCAGCTCGTAGCTTATCTGGAGTAAAAAAAAAAAACAAAACGCAGGTCACCAACAACAGAAAACACATGAAGGCAGCTTGTGATGTTTGGATTGAGCTGTGAGGTTTTCTTTACCTGTGATTTCTGTCTTTTTGGGTTTCATCAGTTGTCCCATCATGGAGAGAATGTCCTGGCCTCCCTGTGAGTGAATGAGAGATATTTAAAGAGTGGAAATATAATATATATATATTGTAAGGTAACAGATGCATTTGTAGTTATGTACCTGAGGTCGGGCGTTTGCAACATCCAGATCGTGCAGTGTGACATCTTGGACTATTTCCTTCTTTTTGTGGACATCACCTTTAGGAAGTGGAACATACTCCTCTGCCTCCAGGTCAAACTCTGTTGCAAAGGTGTCACAACGACCTTGTCTCTGCAAAGAGAGTAATAAATGATAAATACACTAATTAAAAACACAAAACTACCCACCTTTAAACAACAATGAATGTCTCACATTGCTCCGGTCAACAATGAAACAAAAGACAGCACACGGGAGGAGGGCGAGCAGGTGTATGATTGAACCCAGTGCCAGCTCATCGCAGAGAGGAGGGCATGTGGCCCGAAGGGATGAAAGAGTTTGAAAAGGCAAGTCATGAGATCGCTGTCAACAGTAACAAATGTGTCACCCAGCCCTCCTCCTTTGCCCTCTGACTAGAGCCGGCCCGCGCCCCCGGCCCACCTGCGCCGATTAAAGGAGCCGTCATCGCAGCCTGTCAACACAGGCCACAAGCCCTGCTGGTGGAAAAGAGGCATTGTGGAAGATGGAGAGATAGAAGGAGCATGAAGAGCTGCAGGAATGAGAGAGGCTCATTCCAGAGTACAGCAGAAATGCAGCAGAGCTTTCATGCAGGTCTGAGAGAGATGAAAGCACTCAGAGGTTAAGACAGAAAACACTCAACTTTGGCCTCACCAAGAATTTCTTGGTTAGAATTTTTTTTTATTAAATTGTTGTATTTGTGAATTTAAGCACCATCTTGTTACACAAGCCTCTGAAGCCCGACCAGTGTGTGGGCATTTTTGCTCTCCTCACATTTTTGCTCACTGCGGGATTTTTTTTTTATTACAATATAAAGTCCTGCAACTCTATGGAAACACCACAACCATGGTCAGAAGTAGACAGAACTCAAACATGTCTTTTGTGTAATTATAGTACCATTAAACATAAAAAAAAATATTTAAAAAAAAAACAGAAAAAAGTATTTCTTTGACAATTTGACAAAAATAGATATAAAACTGGAATCAACATGTAACATCTTTCCAAGTGGTATTACCAGTACTGGGGGAAAAAACAGTAACATATTATAGACGTTTTACTAATTACATTTTATTTTGTTTTAATACTAATCTCCTATCTGTGGTTTAAAACTAGAATTTACGTCACAGGACTATTGGTTGCACTAATGGCCCATGGGCTTGGAATAATCTGTAGAAAGACTTTAGCATAGAAACATTCATATTAATTAATAAATTTAAGGGCATCATAAAGAATGCGGTGACAGAGACATGTGATTGTTTTTCTTGAGAGGTCCACTATGTTTTAGTGGTTCTTCGTGTTGTTTTATTTGTATTTGTTGCATCTTAATATGTTGTGATTAGCTGCTACCTCGGCCAGGTCTCTCTTGTGAAAAAGATTTTGAATCTCAATGGGACTTCTTGGTTAAATATTAAAAAAAAAAAAAGGCTTCACAGTTGCGCTGAGGAGTGCATTTTCAGGTTGTTTTTTTTTAAACATAAACTTGTATATGTACATAAATATCACAATTTTAACTTTAGTTAAGTTTACTGTTAAAACAATATGTCACAGGTGAGTACTTCAAGAACTGTCAGAAAGTTGAAAATCTGTTGACTCTTTTTTTTTCTGTGTGCAATTTGGCGATTTTAAAGAAGATAACATGCCTTTCAAACCCACCAGTGGGTTTTGGTTTCAGAGGATTAAAGTATGGTATGTTCATTACTTTCTCGTCGGGATTTCATTAAGTAAAATGTGCAGCTACTGCAATAAACAAACTCATGAAAGTAACATAGTTTACCTTGACAGCTCCACTGTTAGCTTCGATGTAAATGACATCTCCCACTTCCACACGCTCTTTCTGAAGACTCTCATAAATACTAGGGTCCAGCTGAGGAAATACAACAAAGTTCGAAAACTGAGCATTAGTGTCCCAGAAAGCATGAATCTGACATCTAAAACCATCATCATAACTGGTCAGTAACACACTGACAATATGTGGCAGATGAGGAGACGCTACTGTAACCAAAACAGTTTGTGAGGACATACATTTTTAGGTAAGAGTTTCACCAAAAAAAGCAATATAATTTAAACAGGGCTCAGAGATGTTGACAAAAACATTGTGTTGAGATACAACCTGCATTTGGGAGATATATATATATATATACACACACACACACATAACATACGTACATAGTTCAAGTTTCTTTACAATCAACAATAGGAGAACTACAAATGAAAGAGGATTAAAAACAAAAGATTATAGCTCCTGGTCTGACCTTGAGCTGCTTTGTGCCTTTTCCTGTCTTCAGACCGATGATGACGTGGCTGATGGTTTTTCCGTAGCCACCCATGGGATTCTCAGTCTCACAGGGGGTCAGCTCTGTCACCTCTCCTTCATACACCTCCTTTGTTTCTTTGATGCGAAGACCTGAATGTGGGCAGCATTACACACACACACACACACACACATACACACACACACACACACACACAGACAGTATAGAGTGAGAGCTCAATCGGGCCTTTATATTCCTGTATCAGCTAAGCCGCCACATCCTTCAGACCACTGAACGCTGTATTTTATTACGGGAAAGAACGCGTGCGTGCCCATGAAATGCCTGGGCATCATTCAGTGTAACATGATCACACTCTTGTTCCTCTTTCACGCAGCCCGTGGCCTCGAGTATGAGCAGCACACAGGTGCCTGATCCTCAGTGCTGAGGGTCAGAGAGTAATGCTTGAGGCGGGGACCGTCTGTCACAACGTTGTTATTGAAAAGGTGATGACAAGGTTTAGATGAAACCCACTCCCCCTGCAGATCCTGTTCTAGGGGTGGAGCGAACGTGCTGATGACCACCTCTCCCTCCACCTAAGCTCTATTTCCTCCCTTTTCGACAGGTACCATCAGCAGTAAGAAAAACCCCTTCCCTTTGCCAGCCTTTCTTCCTTCTCACTATCCCTCACCATCCTCATAAATCCCCTTTCAAGTGTTGCCTTTCAGCTCATGACAACTGCGTGTGCAGGACATCTTGCTGTTCCTGTTCAAGGACTCTTCAGTCAAGAACTGCTGAAAATATAATGTCCTTTGCAGCAAAAAATACAGCAACTACAAAAAATAGATAAAACTGAAGAAAGTTTGTTTTTCCAAGCACCCTCACCTGATCCTGCAATCATATTCTCTAACTTAGCCCTAGCCCTAACATAAAATTTGATTTTATTTTATGTGTGGTGCCAGTGCGATGCAAAAGGAGTGAATGAAACTGGTATTGTGGTTTTTAGAAACGTTTCAGATGTTAGCAGTTTTTTGGAACTAAATCAACTCAATTGGAAATCTGTTTCTATATCTAGATTTTTACTTTGTTTTCCCTGTTGCTCTGGTGCCGATGTTATAGTTGTTAAACAACTGGCAGCGTGTATAAAATGTACCAGTATTACATGAATTCTTCTTAAACTTATTTTCATTTGTGCAAACTGGTCAAAATCTAAAAACAACAATCTCAATCACAGTGAATAGTTGGGGGCTCAGAACCAAACCTTTAATTAGGATTAACCATTTGTGTCATACTCACCAATTGCCCTCCTGAAATTTTCCATCAATACTTCTGTTTTTTTAATCTCAGTTGAGTAGACCTCGCTGCCAACCATGGGGCAGAAAGGCACCTTGTTTCCTAGCTCCTGTGCTACAGCCAAGGCGAGGGCAGTCTGCAAGTAGGAAAGCAATAATGAAAGGCATAAGTGACAATCTGCTGCAATAACATATAAGATGTTTTGCCAGCTAATGAACCTGCACTCTTACCTTTCCTGTTCCAGGTGGCCCTGCCAGTAAAACTGCCCTTCCTGACATCTTTTTTGAACGGATCAACTCCACAATGATGCCACATGCCTGGTGAAAGAGAAAAATATCCAATTATACCATATGTAGCATTCAAATGATAAAATGTCAGCAAAACTTAAATGCAATGTAGGTAGCTCAGGGACTCTTGACCCAGGAGTGAGTCATTAATATATCCGAAAGTTTCAAAGAGACTCTCACACACTGACTTACCTGCAAAAATACAGTTAACAATGACATTTTGGTGCTAGACCTTCATCAGAAAAATAATTTTAATGCAAAGAGAGCCCTCTTTTCTTTGTCTTTTTAATATATATATATTTTTGAATATGCTCTTGCCGTTTTTCCACACATGTCCCATAAAGTAGATATGCAAGGTGGGTTGCAACCAGCCACACTGATAATTGAAGTCAATTCACATTCCCCTCACTTATTAAAGTCAACATCCAGTGCACTGACGACTGCATTTCCCATAATTTACAATAAAGTTTATGACATTACAGTTAAATTATTATAAGTTCACACGCTATGCTCCTGCAATTTCCAAAGTCTGAAATGTTCTTTATAGTACATTTTAACCTGTGATACCTGTGAGATTGAACATCCATGTTACTGTATTAACAATTAAACAATCAATGCTGCGCTTTATAAAATATTTTGCAGTTGTGGAAAGCCCGCATCGGTAACATCCTATTAATACAACATTAAAGACCGTAAAGTTCATTGCAGTATCTGCTGTCATTTTAAAGCTGGTCTTTCGTCACTGAATCTATGACATAATAATACATATTTGTCTGAGATAGTATGTCCAGATTAATTCGACATCAATAAAGGACTTGGAGTTGTTATTGAGGCAATATACCCGTATTTCACTAACTTAATTCTAAGTGTTTTTTTTCTGTGCCTCACAGCAGATCTATGTACGCATCAGACGTTCAATATTGCAGATAAAATAAAAGAATATGTATAAATGTGACTTGTACTGTGTGTAAAGTTTCTCCTCTACCGTGAGAAAGCAACAGCGACACCTCAGTGCTAACCGGATTAGCTTATGGTGCACCATATCACATGCAATGAGCCAGATCATCTTGACTTAAAACATTCCCAGCTCTTTAAATCACTCCTCCACAATTACAAGAGCAACTCAGGTGCAGTGAATTATGAATTTTACCTCTCTTGCAGCCTCCTGGCCGACCAGTCCACATGCTGTCTGTTTAGCATTCCCGGCCTCGTCTAGCCCGAGTCCTTTGACGTGACTGTGAGAAGCGATCCGCTGAGTTTTTGTGGTGCTTTTTACCTCCTCGATTTTCATAGTTGTGTTATTTGTGCAAAAAATGTGACGTAAAGACTGCGAGACGTCCTAACGACAAATAAAATGCCTCCTGTGGCTTTTATCTTTCTTTACCGCCTCAATCGGCGCCGAAACTCAAAACACAGGGAAGTCTGTTTCCATGTGGGTTACTAGGGAAAATAAGCGGAAGTGATACCTTGAAGTACAGCCTATTTGGACTTTTCTGAAAAACTATTGGACTGTGTCAAATAATATGAAACATCTATTGGCTTATGCTTATGTCAATCATCAACAGCGTTAGCCCCGCCCTTTATAGTTTACGTTTCCGGTTGTGTTCCACTTGTTTTGTCGTAGTAGAAACTGCTAGAAACTTGTGAATGTGTGAATAAAAGTATCCGATGAATGTAAGACTAAAATAATAGAGGTGTTTCCGTCGATATTTTATAGCTAAATTGTAATTAAAGGGCCATTTTGAAGTTTTTTTTGTATTTTTTCTTAAGTTAGCTGCTTAAAAAAACGTTCCGCTTTAGCATGTTCTGAGGATGGACTGCGCTGACACCAAGGAAGACGTTTCTATCAACTGTTTATACGAGAAGCAAAGTCCTGCTTTCAGCTAACTGTATAGGAAACCGCAAATTAGTATTTTTTGGTTGTTTGGGGTGTTTTCGATTTTGACTGACGAATGCCAACAAGTGGAAGTTGTGTGGGAAGCATACAACTGTGCCTAATGTTTCCGTCGGAGCTGAGTACAAGGTCCAGTTCAGACTGAAGAGGAAAGCGCACGTTAGTAAACATTTCATCAGTTAGTTGACAAAATGTCTGAGTCTGCTGACAGCCGCACTAAAACGTTAAATTTCAACGTCGGGGTGCTCGGACATGTCGACAGCGGGAAGACGTCGCTCGCCAGGGCGCTGAGCAGCACCGCGTCCACGGCTGCCTTCGACAAGAACCCGCAGTCCCGGGAGAGAGGCATCACGCTGGACCTCGGCTTCTCCTCGTTCACGGTGGATCTTCCTGATCACCTGCGGAACAGCGGAGGGCAGCAGCCGTATGACAGCCTTCAGTTCACCCTGGTGGATTGTCCAGGGCACGCTTCTTTGATTCGGACCATCATTGGAGGTGAGCTCTGATGTTGAAGAAGTGGTACACTTCTGATAGCAGAACATGACAAGGATAGGAGACACCTCAGAGTACTATTAAGACACTCAGTCATCCAGGTCATGGTAATCCTTGGAGCTTCTGTGAAAAGCAACTAGTCTTCTCTTTTTTTTTCTTGAAAACTTTTCACCTCTCATCCAAGATGTTTCTTTAGTTCCAACTGACTGTTGTGGAGTCTTATATATATAATCATCCCCAAAACCATGGCTAATGCCCCAATATAGACCCAAAAGTTAGACGACGCTAGGTTTGAATTGCAGAGATCTGGAAAAACAGCACATCCAAGAGAGAAGAAGAAAGGAACAGACAGGACTGCACTGTTATCTGTTATGTAGCTGGTGTGTCTAGAATAGAATTGAATAGAATATTTTTTTATTGATCCCCATTGGGGGAAATTTACATGCCACAGCAGCATCCAAAAAATGTAGAAAAGAAGTACCAGGAAATAACAATAGTTAGGTAATAAAACAAAATAACTATATACACAAGATGACAAAAATATACAATTGAATGAAAAAAATATATACAATATTTACACTGAAAAAGAAACAGACTTGTTCAAGTCTAAGAAACATAGAAGGATTTTTTTTTTTTTACAAACACACAAAAAACTGGAACAGCTGTCTATAAACAGAGGAGGGGGGGCTACAACACACAGATATCCCTCCACAGAAAGTTTCATCACCACTAACATCTTGAGTCATAACTGACCTGGCAGTTCCACAGTCGAGCACACCTGCAGGCATATAGGCGTTTGCTCATTATTTGGACAATTAGCCATGGGTTAATGAATAATGATATATCAAGACCTCTGCATCAACTGAAGAAGCCTCTTGGATGAGAAGTAAAACGTCTTCAAAAACCCAAAATGTCCTGTTGCTTTTTACTGAAGCTCTAAGGACTATTATATATCTTCACAAATACATTCAGTTGCCACTTAGGTCCACACTGCCTTTCCTTTGTGAAGACTGTTTTCACTGAACTGTTTTATAAAAGTGTTGATTCACCTTTAACTGAGGGGTGTGTCTGACATTTTTGTCCACCACATTTTATTTATTTGAAACACTTCTCATTATCAAACATGCCTCTTATACTGGCCTTGTCCACAGCAGACTTTCTGACTTGTCATCGCAGGAGAAAAGTGAAGGTGTCACTGAGATTAACACTGGCTCTGTTCTAATCAAGTGTCCCATTCAATCATGACAGTGAACTAGCAGGAGCTCAATACCTGGACCCAGAAACTGAAGATGCTAAATGGAATTATTTCATCATGAATTTTATGAATTCCATTTCTGTTTGTGACATGTTACTGCAAAGTGTGGAAAATACAGTCATTTCTCTACACAAAGTTGATTGACGTAACACACATTGATCCAAAATGTAAAATAAACTGGAAATTGGATAAATTCAATGTCATCCAACTTTTGAACTAAGCATCTTTATACCTGCATCATACAAGTCGCAAAGACAAAAGAATGATGTGGCCCAATATCAGTTCAGTTCTTTTCACTCTATACAACCTACATTTTCTATATTATCCATATTAACCGTAAACAAAAAGAGAAACATAAATCTATGTAATGTTCATAATTAACACAAACACTGATAGTGCTTGGTGTCAGCGTGTATCACAAATAATATTAAATGCATGTACTACCATGTTTGTACCTGTGTGTCACTCACATGAAAACATCCTTGGCAAAGATCTAATTGTCTTAATGCTGAAGTCACTGCCACTACGCCATGTAGGATCCTACATCCTCACTGTAATTAATCTCAAATTTGACCTATCCAGCAGGGGGCGCCTTCTCTCTTCAAAAAGCCTGGTTGAAGGTTGACTTCAATGGTTGGGGGCATTAAGAGAACGGCTGAAGTGGTGCTGCAGTTCAGAGCAAATAATCAGGACATTTATTCAGAGGGACACGCTCTGTGATGCCTGTTTTCTCATTTGTCATGCCACTGGACACCAAAACCTACTTTTTTAACTTACAGGGTTCAAGACAAACTTAACTTAGATGTCTCAGATGTAATAGAGTTGTTTTTGAGGCCCTTCAAACACTGAATGCAGCTCTGTCGTGCAAGAAACATAATAAATTAAACCTATGAGCCACTGGGATGGCACATGCTGTAGATTAGGGAGGAAGAGAAGTGTGTAGATTACGGTATGTATTAAACTTCCCCTCCAGTCCCAAGTGGGGAAAGCACAGGAAAGAGAGGGAGCCAAATAGAAAGAGAGAGAAGAGGGGAGCACAGGAAAGAGAGACTGCCAAAGTCAGGAAAAGAAAAGAGGGAAAGGAAAGACAACCAAGTGAGCTGCGGCTCTAGTTTCAACCCTCAAGCCTTTTACTCTCTCTTTGCCTTGGTGCACCCCTCACCTAATTTCTCTTCTTGTTCTTCTGTTATTTTTGGGCGTCTATGTCCATTCCTGTTTGTATTGCTGTTGTCGGCTTCATAGACTCAACTCATATTTTTTTTAACATCTTTTCATAGATAGAGATCTTTTTATAGAGCAGGGAAGCTGGAATGTCTTTAACTGCAAAGTACTGTGTTGTTCTGTCTCAGTTTGCTGCTTTTCTTACAGCTCTGTAATGTCTTCCTTCTCTAGGTGCCCAAATCATTGACCTGATGATGCTGGTGGTGGATGTGGTAAAAGGGGTGCAGACACAGACTGCAGAGTGTCTGCTGATTGGAGAGCTGACCTGCCCTCGCATGGTCGTCGTCCTCAATAAGATCGACCTGCTGCCACCGAACAAAAGACAAAGTGCCATTGAGAAAATGACCAAAAGACTGCACAAAACACTGGAAAGCACCAGGTTTGCGTTTTTGAGTAAAACAATTCATTGGGGTATGCGTAGAGGTAGTGGCTGTGAAATGAGGATCCAGACAGATAATGAGGTTGGGGGCATCCCATGTAGCTTCAGTACTCCCTGGACTAAATCGCTTGTCAAAGTGCCTTATTCATTACTCATTCTGTCTTCTTCAATACTCCAGAATCAGTCTGTCAGGCCCACTTGTTTTTTTCATTCAAAAGTTTTTTAGTTGTGGTAACTTAAATCAATACTTCAGCATCAAAGCATGAAGTAATTATAGCATGACTATTCTTTTGGTGGCCAGATTTAAGGAATGTCCCGTGATTGCTGTGGCCGCGAAGCCTGGAGGCCCGGAGGCTGCTGACACAGAGGAGCCGCAGGGAGTGCCACAGTTAATAGAGGTAAAGTCTGGAAACAGAACAGTCACCAAATATACTTACTAATAAAGCTCAAACATCATAAGTTCTCTTTTATAAGTTCTCAGTTCACATTGTACATATTGTAGTAAAATAACAAGGGAGCGAATAGTAGGGGATCTGCTGCTCAGGGTATATAAGCCCTAACCACCTGAATATTGGGTGGCCCCAATTATTACTTATTTGGTGTGAAGTGATTTATCTTATGGCATGTAGTGATTTGAATGATTAAGAAGAAGCAGTTTTTTAAAATAAATTTCAACATGTTTGATATTGTCAGATCTTGTTTATAGCCTTTTTAAGCATAACCAGCGGCAAAAAAGATCGTAAATATGTGATTATTCATTGTGCCATGATTCTTTTTTCTCCTAAACGACACATACAAAGGGTGTAAATTTATCTTTCACATTGCTGTGACTAAGATATGTATAAACAACAATATTTTGTAGTTAAAAATAAACTTCTCAATGATCTTAACAAGACAAACTATGTAGTGAACACATTACTTTAAACATGTCTATGGAATTATTGCACTGAATCTTCTTGTTATTTAAAAACCTACATATATGCTAGTTCTGATCTGATCAACTGCAATAAGCTAATATTGGATAGGCTGATTAATTGGCCAGTCTCTGCCCTTGTCAAACTCGGCAAACTGCAAACCAACCGTGCGGTAAGAGGCAGTGTTTGTGAAGAAGGCTAGATGCAAGTTCATCCTTATGTGTGTGTGTGTCCGTGTGTGTGTGTGTCCGTGTGTGTCCGTGTACTTCAAGAGCCACACACGT